ATTTAAACATTGTTTCTATACCAATTACACTGAATTGCTTAAAAAATAGTAATGCTGCTAAACAGAACCATATACCTTAAAACTCAGAAACCCAATTAAACAATCCCTTAAAAACCCAATCTTTCTTTCTGAAAAATTTCAAAATCAATTACTTTAATTTCAATTCGAACCCTCTCCACAACTACGCACACAGATACAACAATCATGCACAACAAAACCCTAGAAATGCATCATACAAAACATGAAAGCACTGAAGACATTTTATCAATCAAGTACTCCTGATACACCCATCCTCACCCAAAACCCATAATAATATAATGCACTACCATGCTTAATTAAACTCACCAAATGAACTAATCATCAAAGACACTGCATTCCAATCGCAATAGATTATAGAAACAGCAATCCATCTAAACATTTACTATTTCAGACACTCTGCCTCAAAAAGACTACAAATTGCTTAAAAAACAGTATTGCTGCTAAATAGTGCCATATACCTTAAAAATCTCAAAATTAATTCATCAATCCCTTAAAAACAAAATCTTTCTTTCTTAAAAATTTCAAACACAATTACGTTAATTTCAATTCGAACCCTTTCCACCACTACGCACACAAATACCACAATCATGCACAACAAAACTCTAGAAATGCACCATACAAAACATCAAAGCACAGGTGACATTTTATCAATCAACGACTCATGCTACACCCATCCTCACCCAAAACCCAAAAAAACAATTGACCTATAATCCTCAATTTTATATTACCGACCCCCCCCCCATTCCAAAATCAAAGACATAAAAAATAAACTCTGTGCATCGTTTTTTCCAAACGCAAATACAAAACACATCTGAAACCCTACTGGAACACATGCAATTACTTTTTCGAATCAGAATATACCATAATCTTCAATTTCTCAAAAAATTTAATATAAAACATTACCTCTTTCTTCCGGCGATGTTAAAGGTGTCGGACTCTTATCGCTAACATTTTTATTCGGTGCCATAGCCACAAGAATTCGAAATGCAGTGTACAACTCCAAGAGCCCTCTCAAAATTGGAGTGTGAATTTTGCTTCTGCGTTTCCTACTCGAAAGTAGCACAAAAATAGGAATACCCGGCGGGATTCCTTTTTGGGACGTGCACGTCTGTACTTTTCAATGGCAAAAATACCCCTTTTGTGCTGCTTCCCTTTTTTTAAAACATGTAATTTTAAACTTACCTTGTGCAGCCCACCATTCATTAATAAGTGATTGAACAATCACAGCCATCCATTCGTCCAAATCCAAGGGCTCTCCATCATTCTTATTTCTTTCACTAGGAGCCTTTCTCACATGATCTCACCCCTATATATATATATATATATATATATATATATATATAGGGGTTGGTTCAGGTGAGAATGACTCTTGGTGAAAGAAATGAGAATAAATATAAACCATTGGATTAATGCATCTGACGACTCCCCATTAAAAGAATTAAGAGATAGACATGCTATTTTTATGGAAGGTAATAATTGCTTGTGTGAAGGAATATGCATAAATTGACATGCAGGGACATTTTGGTAATACAATAATGCATTAAAAAGGCAATGAATTTAATGCCTCAACACCGCCACCACTCGCACAACGGCCAGCCAAATCATTTTCAATGCTACATAATTTTTTCCCATCAATACTTGTTGTAATATTAATGTTTTCCTTTTTTTTTCCTTTTTTATTTTGTTTACCATTTTTCTTCAATGAAAATTAATGATAGATACTTTTTGTTACTGCATTATTTGTATATTATATTGCTCATTTGTCTTTCAAAAAAATTATTGCTCATTTGTTTCATTTTAATTAATTATGCTTTTGTAAAATGTGGACTATAATTATTTTTTTAAAATGTATTTGTACAATTTATAGAATGAGAATATAGACCATAATTATTATTTTTTGAAAAACATAATGTGGTCCATTATTTTTCTGTGTTCTAAATACTAATCAATCATCCACTTTTTATTTTCCAACAATATTTATGAGAGTCATTATGAATAATCATGTAATTGTTGTGCACTTGACAATAGTTTTAGTTTAAAAAGTTAATAGTGTTTTGACCTGTTAGTTTGTTTTATTTGTATGCAATGTTTACATATATAGCTGCACCACGTATTGTATATTATGCATATATAGGTGCATTAGAAACGTGTGTTAAATAATACGGAGTAATTGTTTTATCGGTATGCACCATGCTCGTCTATAACTGCAACTAAGTGTGTTGCATGTGCATGCTATGAATGCCAAATTAAATGGGAGTATACACGTGCATTGATCTTCATGACTAAAGGAATATGTTTGTCCCTTACATTGCATGTTGCATTATTATAATATCTTCAAGTGCTACATTGGAAAGAAAAACACATGTAGTACTATTTGGAGAAAGTCATTATGTTTTAATGCTATTTACGGAAATTCCTCGTCTTTGTTTTTTAACGGTGTTTGTATTGCACTCATTTAATTATAATACACAAGTCTTTATTCTCATGTGAATATGTTTATTTTTCAAATTATTTTTTTTATTGCATATCCATATTATTGGAGTGTGTAGTAAAAAGGTTCATGGTGTTGCATAATCCCATTATGTGTATTGTTGCATATGCTCATGTGTTCAACATCTATTTTTTTGTTGGTGCATAAACCAAGATAAAAACTTCAAATAAAAATAAAAACAAAAAGTCTAAATCTAATGATGATGAGATTGAATATTTCATACAAAAACATCATTATTAAAAATTTAACAACAATATAATCAATAATTATTTAAAAAAATCCATAATTTTTTTGCTTAATAGTTCAACATATTAAAATGCATCTTGTAACTTTTCTGATGAATATCAAGAATCTATATTATGCATTTATGTAGTCTCAGTGATGCATATCAAATCTCTATGTTGTGCATTGAAGTACTATTATTATATGATCCATATTTTATTTCCCAAAAAGTAATGACCCCAAGTAAAACTCCCCGGAAAATCCACCGTAAATATTCTGGCCAAATTAAACTTGAACTTTTCACCGATCATATGATCCATATTTTATTTCCCAACAAAAACAACTAAAATAATTTAAAGATGTACTCCGTAATATTTTTCATATTTCTCCCTTGAACAAAAAAGCACAAAGAACGAAGTTACTGGAATATATATTCAAATATCAATTTGTGAATTAAGAAAAAGAAAAAAAATAAACATATATACTCTCTGTGCTCTTCCCTCCGATCTCATATGAAAAGCTTATCTCTTATTATGAAAGG